AAATTTGTAATAAATATATAAAAATATGATAAACACAATAAAGTTGGAACTTTCAGAATTGTTCGGAATTTCTGGTGCTACTTCTTATTTAATTATTCTTCTGATATTCATCTGATATTTTTACGATCTTTCTAAAGATCAAAAGATGACAAAAATATAGATGACACACACCCAAGAAAAATTCTCCTTCCACCAGTGCTGTGAATAAGCTGTAGATATAAAAACCTGAGGGTCATCTGCATTTTAGACAATATTTGTATAATATTACGCAGTAATAATTATATTTCGAATTTCCTTAAAGATCTCAAATGCAATCTTTGCATCTCTATTTTAGACAATATTTGTATAATATTACGCAGTAATAATTATATTTCGAATTTCCTCAAAGATCTCAAATGCAATCTTTGGTTATTGAAAATCATTACCACACGAATGCAGATAACATGTTTTACCACATGCTGGTGGTGCATGTTTTTAATCACGACGGATGTGAAAGGCGTCTACCATGCGTTGCTATTCCCCACTACGCGTCTACAGTGATGTCAAACGATGCCTGGATCGGAAGGTCATCCGTTCGTATATGCGTATAAGTCTGATGGTTTTTGCCTCGACGACATTCCATTTGCTGCACTCCTTGAATAAGTTTCCTCGTGAAAATTCATCCGAGCGGGAATCTGCATTAATAACTAAACATATAATATCGTAATATAGTTGGAACTATGGCGAATTCGTATAAAAAGTTGCAAAGGAGAAATTCATCGTTTATAATCGAAGAGTTCGAAGACGATTTCAAAGGAATGTCTGGAAAGTGTATGGAGATCGGCTGCGGTTACGGAGATACAACGAAGGATATTCTCTTACCAGCTCTCGACCCAAATGCCGTGATAATAGGTGAGAAACCAATACGTTGATAAATTGCAAATTGTAACAATACGTCGATGTAGAGCGTTATTAAATTCAATGATTTCATTTTCTTCAATCATTTAACGATTACTTGAAGGTGCGGATACTTCGGAGAAAATGATCGAACATGCAAATAAAACATATGGCGACAACAAACGACTCAAATTCGTAACATTCGATATCGAGACCAAGGATTTGCCTGAGGAATATATTTCCGAATTTGACCACATATTTTCATTTCCCGGCTTATTTGTCTGCAAAGACATTCGGTAAGTAAGATATATTCGAACAAAGATTAGATTAATATTCCTTCTTACAAAATAAAGAAACGCACTTCAAAACAGATTTGCAGATAAATATTTATATGTAGCAAACATTTTGTCATTTATACGATAAAATAGTGATAAGATAAAGATAGTTTCCAAATTGTCGATAATATAAATGGATAACCTCAAAAATGTTGTAGATAATAATTGTATACTTGAGAAATGAATTGTATTTATCACCTTTATTTATCAGACAAGTGTTCGAAAATATTTATCGCATGCTTCGACCTGGTGGAACTATGCACATGTTATTAGTAGCATCTCACACTACGTTCGAAGTCTTTAAAGTTATGGCAGAAGATAAGCGTTACGCACCGTACGTATGGGTAGGTGTTATCAATGATTCATAAAGTTTTATTATTGCATAACTTTTTAGTTACGAATTATTAATTGTTTATCTTGCGTGAAGGACGCCACACCGTTTCGCGATGCAGACAATCCTTCCAAGGAGCTGAAAGAATTACTTAGAAGTATCGGGTTTACCGTTCACCATTGCAGTCATCGACAAATGAGCTTTTCCGCTAAATATTCAGACGCTTTTCCGTGTAAGTATTCTTACAGATATGTATGAAAAAGTTACACCCTTCGTTAATTGTCATTTATAATATAAATAATTCGCACTACTTTTATTTATATTAATTATTTCACTATTACAGCCGCTATTATGTCCAATCTCTCAGTTTTGGATAAGATGCCGTCTAACCGAAAGGAAGATTTCATGCATGAATTTGTAAGCGAATTCATGAAAGGAAAACTTGTCTTTAAAAACGGCGATGAAGAACACATGACAAATGTATACAGATCACTGATCATTTCTGCACAAAAATAAATATTGTGCAATTGTGTATATACATATCATCTAAATTGTTTATAACGCTCAAAATTATGAATTAATTTAAAACAATATGGTGTATATATTATTTTTTACATATAATTTCTAAAGTAATGTAAAAAGAAATTTTGAGAAATTTGCTTGTACTAATTGTGTCTTATATTTAAAACGATGTAATTTTTCAGAATAAAAAATTTGAAAAAAAAAAAACATTTACTATATAGTAATAATACTATAAATTTGTTTTTCGCAATCCTTGACACTCACGAAAAAATTTAAATTACTGTTTGATGAAAACTATACTTTCCTGACGGAGGCTACGTTTACAATAGCTTGGCAAAGGCTCCGGGGAAGAAGGTGGCAGAACACACTCCGCGCTTTGAGATAATATATTTATTTCTTATTAATATGGAGTTTTTTTTCATCAACAATAACAGTGTAGCAGTAGGCGTAACAAGAGAGACGAGGTAGGTTACGAGGAACCTAGCCTAATGTCGTACGCCAACAAGTCACCGCGGTTGGAAGGGATCCTCGTGGCGTCTATTTTTTTTTTTTTTTATTATTTTTAATTTATTTATACTTAAGTTTTTTTTATGTATGCTACGCGACGCGCCGAGCGATCGTTTATCGTGACAAGGAGTTAGCGCGCATCGGGCGTCCACGTGTAGTCCTATGTGCGAAGCGTTTAATCCTCGAGCGAAGTATTTGCAATCACTCGCGCTGACTACCGCGTGCGTCATTCACTCGCAGATTATTCGTATCGTACTTCAACATACGATAATAATTACTAATTAACCGCAAAATTACGCCATGTTGCAATACTCAATAAAAATAACTTTCGCCATAGCCATAACAAACACGATATATCTATGGCTTGACGCAAGAATAGTTAATGTCGCTCTTTGCCGATATGAAACAAGATACACGGCAAGATTGAAGAATAAGAATAATTAGTTTCACGACTGAAAATGAATAAAACAGACGTGACTTTGCTGGAAACATTTTGAACTCTTCAGATCGCACTCTTCGTAATGCAACACGTCTTACTTTAACTAAAAAGTTGCATTGGTTTATTTTTGCATTGAGCCACAGATATAAGCGTATCTTTTGATTGCATTTTAAGATGCACATCCTATAACCTCTTTATACACATTAAACATTTGCGAACTACACTTTACTTATTCTCCATCTCGTCTCGACGCCAGTTCGTGTTGCAACGTTAGTTAAAATGTTATAATGTTACAATCAATTGCGATGCTGTAATGTTATAACACGAGTTATAGTATAGCGAACTGGCGAGGAATAGTAATAAGTATGATAAATCAATTACGATGCGCCGTTCGAGGATTAAATTCGCTTTTACGCGGCTCGCATTTAAGTGTGCAATGAGAAACGAGATACACGCCACGGTAACCCATTTTGCAGTTATACGAACGGAAGAGCCATACTATGTTAATCACTTACGATTAATTATTCCATAAAGTCTAATGCGTTATACTATGTTACGGCCGATCTTCCTCCCTTGATCCAAGTGACAAATCAATATGACGCATGCCGAAATGAAAATCAGCAATGCAGTGTGCACCGACAACGTCTTATCTCGCGGCGATATTTCTACAAGAATTCTCGGAACCTGTCTGTCATAAAAAAATTACCAAGCATGTTAAATAATCAAAAAGATGATTTGTCTTCAAATAATAAGAATTTAAATTGATAAAGAATTGTAACTCTGAAATTAAAGATTAAATATTGCTCGAAAAAATAACAAAAAAAAACAACGTGTGTACTACAAGGTAAGGAAAAGACATTCGAGAAGATAAAAATAATTTCTTCGTAAAAAATAAGCGCGTAAATAAATATACGCGATAAAGTGCCGAACAGCAGCGCGAGACATTTGCATATTAATTCATCACTTAGCAGGATAGAGGAGACCCGTCTGTTAGATAATATTAAATAGTGGTATTACTCTTGGCAGGATTTCAAAATCAACGTAACAACAACAGTTCAAATTATGGCAGTGCTTTGTAGAATAATCTTATTGCCCGTTAGTGAGTGAATTAATATGATGTCATTAATCAACGCGATAATGATAATGAGTAAATTACGTGTGTAGACCATGCGCGATCCGATAACTCAATTTGTCGTTAGCACGTCTCGCGGAACGACAAATTTCTCGTTTCTTAAATTGGTGTAAATTCACTTGCTCTTTATTCTCGCAAGTTCCATTTGCCCCCCCTCTCTCCCCCTCTCTCGTCTAGTACATCTACTCGACGATGCTGATTCGTGGTTCTTCGCAGTAGGTGATGTACACTTTGGATTGTACTTGAACCTCCCTTGCATTGTTGCATCGAGAGCGATGCGCGAGAATCGTAATGGAAAGAGAAGAGCGAGTGCACTGAACTTAATTTTTACGGAGAAAATACGCGACTCATAGAATATGAAATCTTGCTCGTGTGTGTATGTGTGCGTCATGTAGGCCGGCATGTCCAGATATATTTGGCAAACACGCAATAACGCTGCATTGCAATGAGATAATGGTAATCAAAGAATGCTTGATAAATTATCAGACGGAAGAACGAAACACCGATAAGGTCAATGCACCAGTTCACTTAATTGCGATGATTAAGATTTCTTTACGAGCTTTGCGGAAAACTATTTTTGCAAAACTCAATCCCTTCTCTTTTCACGCTACTTTCCGCATGCGATTTTAGAAGTTGATTAAATCTGGTCACAAAGTAGGCATTTGTGTGTGACTTTTTTTAATATTGCGTTCCTTAATGTTATTTTTATTAAAAAAACTAGAAAAATTTCCAGACAACCAAATATTTCTTTGAAAATCATTATTATATTACGATTGTCTCATATTGTACACGATATAATTATATTTTTAAAAATTTGAAGTAATATAATTTGCAACACGTGCATTGAGATTAAAATAAATATTTGGAGATTAGAGACTGTTTTGCTGGATTGTTGAATTTAAAATTGCAAGAAGATTTGTTCGAAATGTTTAATACTGGTGATTCGACTCTATTTCTTGAAAATAAGTTATCTCGGAAATATATTATTTTAAAATTCAATATAAATAATTCTAAAACATGCTTTTTTATTGCATTCACCACTGTCGCACTGCAACGCGCGCGCAGGATTACAGTTGCAACTATCATTGAGACCGTTTCGGAAGTTTTTCGTGCGATATAGAAATGCGAAGACTTTCTCACAAAGACGGCGACGAGAGACAAGTGCATTGTGCTCTTATCTTTCCGTGCGTGTGATGTCTAAGAGGCTCTTGTTGGCGCACAAAGAAGTATAAAGGGCTCGACCTTTAATTCAGTGCAATAGTGTTCCTTTCAGGTATCTAGTAGAAGACACGTATGTACAAGGGATCCTTCGAAGGATGACTGGGCTTGCCCGAGATGCTCGTGACAACAGAACACGCAACGGAAGCGAAAAAGATAGATAGCAGAGCCCTACTGAACCAAATTACCGGCAGAACCCACACGCGTTACAAAGGATTACGGAGCTTAAAAATTAATTCTTTAATAAATCTATCTTTGATTTCTTTAGGCGCGGGTGACTCTAGACTGGCCCCCTATGTTTGTATTTTGATCACTTCCTGAATTAATCGCAGCACAGATTACGCTAAAGTCTGCTTGAACGCGTTTCCGAATGATTCGTCTTTGCTTTTCAGCCTCGACTTGTAAGAGCTAGTTTAGCGATCGGACAACGAAGGAAAAATACTTTCGCGACGTAGATAAAGAGAGCAAAGTGAGAGAAAGAAGAAGCTAGCTTCAAGTGAGCTTAAGTGCGTTTCGCGAAAGTGACGATGGAAAGAATGTGTAGGCTGAGACGCGGCTGAGATGACCGGCATAATTATTTCGCTCGCGCGAAAACGACGGCGAGTTACGCTAAATTGCGGAAATTAGCGCGTGACTAGTGCACAATCATTCAGGACACTTTCATCGATCGCGGTTTCGGCGTTGGCGCGTTAACGCGCGTAACCGCGCGGCAAACCCCTCGGAACGACTAACCACGACTACTAACAAAGACAATGACACGCTCTAACTATCGAAGTGGAAGTATAGCCTCGCCCTAACGCGATCCGTCTGCAATTGGCAGCAATTGTCATACTCGCTGCATTTTTTCCTTGCTAAATAGTCACACGTACACTCACACGGAGATTCTCTACCCACTAAAGGACTCGACGAGGGAATTTTTTATTTTTTTAGTTCTGCTTAAGTATCTGAATACAATAGCGTTTCTACCGAGAGGAAACTATGAAACTAAATGTCTATCCCCTATTATGTTAATATAATGTAGTGAAATATTCGAATACAGTACAGTACTAGTTTTTTTTTTTAAGTAAAGTATCTTTGGGCGGATACGACTACTCCTCTAAGGCCTCGCTCCATAAATCCTCTTCTTTTTTTTTTTCTTTTTAAAAGTAATTAATTCAGATTTTAGTCCCGTACACATCCACGCTCTACCATCTAAGTTGAATAATAATAATGAGACTAGACGTGAGTTTCTCGCCCTCTTCCATCGAAGTGACGCGCGAGAACTCGTAGACGAAGATGGGACATGCACATTAATCAGTTTAACAATTATTCAATTCCGATAATGTTTCATTTACAATTCCTGAATTAAATCTCACCTATCAGTCTAGTAAAACCGTCGGAGAAGTCGGTGCTTTACCAACGTCGCAGCACGGACAAACGATTTATATATCGCATAATATCTCCGGGCGCTTGTCCCATTAAAAATGTACTCTATTATTAGACTCACGTAAGAGAAAAGCAAACACTCGAGAGATTCAGGGTTATCGCATAATACTGATATTTGGCACTGCTTTAGGAAATAATCGTAAATCGCGAAAGAACCGCGACGAAATTTTTCTTATCCTTATTTTCTCGCCGGACCTGTAGGGGTATTTCGTACTCTGTCAACGACGTTCGTCGGTATCTTAACGCTAGAATTACGGCAAGAAAAGTCAATTGATGTTTTTTTAATTTTATATCTGTATATGTAGTGTTATCGATTATACGAATCATATATTATATAATTTTACGATTTTAATATTTTAAGTCTGAGCCTCTTTCGCTATATTATACTGAAAAGAATCAGAGAAAATTATTTGATTCCTATATTTCTCTCACTCGGCATTTCTAATGTTAAATCACTGAAAAATGTCGTTCGAGATAACAACAAATGTATGTAGATTGATGTGATTCCGTATATTCCGAATTAAAAACTGCAGCGATACTTTAATTTACGATTTTTCTACGTAATATTTTTCTTTAATGAAATATCGATGTATTTAATGTGTTTCTTTTCTTTTTTTCAATTAGACACCAACGAAAATCATTAACGCAGCGCGAAACACTGCTGTCGAATTCCGGTATTGAATAATCCGTGTTACGAATACATTAGATTAGAATTCCATCCGCTTCTAAGTTTCTTCCCCTTGACAGGCGCGATAATTGTAAGATTAATGCATATTATCTCGCAGTAAGTGGTCATTCTACGCCGAGAGTCCATCGAGCGAGTCTCTCTCCTTCCGTAGTCAGAAATTATTAAAGTGGCAGTATGCAGTCCAATTCGACGAAGTTCGGTAAACCAGCGTTTCTCAACTTTCGCAAATTGTTTACTCTTTCACTGTTTCGTCTGCGCGAAGTCCGTGTACTTTATCATATTTACATGTGTCCGTTGAACGAGATGAGAGAACAATATATAGTTTGTCTTGATATATTTACAATCCCAAAGGGATGTTATCTAACGCAGGCTTGTCCCAGTTTTTAATCTCAGCGCGAGCGAAATGTTTCCGTTTCTCTAACACCGCGAGAAAACAAAGAACGAAGCAAATGGGGTCAAACGCTTCACCCATAAATCGTCGCGTAGACACGTGTTCGTTGTATCTGTGCGGTGAATCGGTTGTTATCGTTAGGGAGGGGGCGAAAAAAAAAATTACGGCGGTCGCGGATGGAGATAAGCGGTTCCGTTCGCCCGATAAACTTGGACAGGCCTGGTCTAGATGCCGTTTCGCAGTTAAAAGAGCTTTTTATCTGCTTGTAAGACCGTGACGGAATCGTCGGAGACCTCGGAGTTGAGAAACACTGCAGCGTACAATATCTGGTACCATAGCAATCAGAGAGAGACTCACCGAGGCTGACGGTTAATGTAGAGTTAAAATGCCAACAAGAAAATATCTTAGTACTCGTGTGTACCTCGCTACCTATTTAAGACATCTCTACTAGAGTTTATAGCACTTTTGTTTATCGACGTAATCCTATATTATCAATGTACGTAACAACGTATGAACAATCAAAGAGATTTTCTCCCAGTCGCCATCATCACCCCTTTCACCGCTTCCCGCCGCACGCAGAAAAATTCCTTCATTTACGCGCTCCGTCGTATTTTCGATTCTCTCTCGCTAGTTCTTAATTTCTCTGATAAACTGTCGTGATCTACAAATTGACCTATAAATCTGATATTGCTTAAATCAATCAAAGCCCCTCAGAGGCTCCGCGATCCATCAAAAGCCGATTGCTTTCAAGTACTCTCTCTCTCAGTTTTTTAATACGGAGCAGTTTCCTATCAAGGGGGATGCAGATCGCGGTGGTGGGCCCTGGCACTTAGAATCGCCTTCAGTTCGGATTCCAGCTGTTTCTTAGTGCGCTCACTCACCGACCGGCCGCCCACCACCGGTTGTTGGGTTAGCCTCGGCGACGGCAGGTCCGCCATCAGCTTGCCGCTGTCGCGATTTTCGTGGCTGCGGGCACGTCGTATGGGCTTTTTTATCGGCAACGCTTCCTCCTGGGTTTTCTCTTCGTCCACGGAACGGCTCAGGGAAAGTGTCATTTCCTGATTCAAAGTGTATGTAGAGCCACCGGCGGCACCGACGGC